TTGCCTAATGACCACAGGGGTCCAGGGGGTGTAGCCCTGGCTAGGGGCACGGTGGGGGCTTTTGGTGGCGTTATGGCAGTAGATTTTATGAAATTTGGTGCATCAACCCATGGGCTTTCCAAGATGGTGGGTGTGTCCGTAGAGTTTGATGATGTGATCTTTATAATTTTTCATTGTGTTTTTATGCTTTTTTGTTCTGTATTCATTCTATTTCTGCCTGTTTTACCCCATAATTTCTATGATATACTTCATGTCCTCCCCTGCTATTGGGACTATCAAATCAAGATTGTAGATGGAAATGGTAATCAATATGATTATGAACGATTCATTTGCACAAAGAACAACACCTAGAATCATTGAAAGCAGTGGATTTCATTCAGAAAAATATCATAACTGTTGTTAAAATAACCCATTACCCTCTTCTACATATTGACCATATTAGCTATCACTGACTTTGTTTTGGGATATTTTTCAAATGCGATTTCCTGGCATTGTTTGTTTATTGAAATGATAGCACCTAGGGAGGTGAGGCAACATATCATCCTTCTTTCAACACAGCAAATATCAATTATAGCTGCGCATTTCTCGAAACCTGAAAATGTTAAATGCTTGAAAAATCTGCTTATGGCAACTGCATCGGATAATATTCGTCAGATTTGCTGATACCTTTCTAAATGGTTTTCGTAGCTGCGCCATCTATCAAAGGCTAAGCAAACTAATGGAGGGACATTTTTCGCCTGAACCAAAAAAAAAAAACACTGATTCAGTGAACTAAAAGCATACTACATAATATTTTTCAGTATAGAACATTAGCTGAAGGCAGAACTGCAGTAGGGTTACAATGAATATGTAGATATTTTCACTGTGTGTGTGTGTGTGTGTGTGTGTGTGTGTGTGTGTGTGTGTGTGTGTGTGTGTGTGTGTGTGTGTGTGTGTGTGTCTGAGTCTGTTTATAGAAATACGAAGTCAATATTTGGTAATGAGTAGATAAACAGTATGTTTAATTCTTTTTGCTTATTCTGAATGCTTTTTATCTTGTGCTAAAATCTGACTAAAATTTTCGCTATTATTATTTCGTAAGTTGTGGCGTTTTTCTGAGGAGTTGCATTTGATCGGCTGAGCGAGAAAATACTTGTTTTGACTCAAGCAATCACTAGCAGGGTTCCAAGACGGGTGAAAAGCAAGTCTAAAAACTGTAATATATCTTAAAATTTTGTTCATTCTGATAATATAGGTATCTCACTCTCTACTTTTATCTGATAAGTATACAATTTATATTTCCCTTGTATATGTCAGTGCATGTCAAAGCTCTGATACATAATCTTAATATATCTATGATAAAAATACATATTTCCCAATGTGTGACAAGTCATGCTTGTTCACCTTGGGTAGTTTGAAGAAAGGGGAACCATCTTGAAAACAAAAAACAGAAAATAGTATATTTGATAATCTTTATGATAATGAATCTTCATAAATTCCTGAATATTCATTTTGTGGCTAATCCTAATATATCCTGAACAAGAAAGGAAATATGTCCAAGGGAATATAATGTCATAATGACATATGGGAAGACCAGGGTGAAAACAAGGGCGCTAAGCTGTTACCTTTTTCAAGGTAATCTGAAATTGCAAATAGAGGATGAGGGAAAAGTAATTTCTCTTCCAGTGAAGTAACCAGAGAGCTGGGTATCTCCTGCTAGATGGGATACAAGTGAATAAGGTGGGAGGAGGAGGACACCGTGAACAACTGCCTCATTATGGATGCCCTTCAACAAGGCAGCTAAAATTCATATAAAGACCTACAGCTCCTATAAAACAACTACATGCAGATGGGCTTCATCACAGAATGTTATCAAAGAGGGGTAGAACAATCAATATAACCAACATCACCTCCAGTTTGCCCAGCAGTATGTGGAGAGCGCATCCATTGCTTGACAAGAGTTAACAGGTGTAAATATCATTATCGTTTTTTAATTTGATCATAGACATAGTTCAAATTTTGATAAAGATATATGTTCATATCTCATATTTTATGTTCTGATTATCTATTATTATTTACTTTTTACATGTAACAAACGGCATATCTATGAAAGGGCAAGGAGTGCCCACATGACCAATAATAAGTATAGTAGATTGTCATGCATTGTGTTAGTGAACTCGCCAAAAAAGAAGGGAGATTCAGTTTAGGCAAATATTTTGAAATTGTTAGAAGAAATATTTCTCCCATCAGCACATTGCTATTCTTTGGCCCTTCCCAGATAAAAAACAGTTACAAAATGGTTTCATGTCTGGAAAACAGCTAATGAAAGAACCTCCCAATAGTTAACAGATCATTCAAAAAGGAATGGAAAGTGTTACAAAGGAAACCAGGACTTCACATAATCATGTTGTCTCTGTCCAGGGGATTAGACAAGGTTTTGAATAAGAATAGATTGTTATTATTATAAGTATAACTACCCCCAGTATTGGTCTTTCTTTTCTACAATTATTACTGTTTTTCTTTTTACAAATAAACTGATAATAAAAATATTGTCAAAATTAATAAGCATCCTTCCAATTATTCTATTTCTTGAATCCCCCAGCTAAGAATAGAAAAAATATATACATACATACATACATATATACTTATTTATGTATGTGTATATATATATTTCTGTTCTTTCTATCTCTCTTTCTTTCTTCTTTTCTTTTCTTTTCTTTTCTTTTCTTTTCTTTTCTTTTCTTTTCTTTTCTTTTCTTTTCTTTTCTTTTCTTTTCTTTTCTTTTCTTTTCTTTTCTTTTCTTTTCTTTTCTTTTCTTTTCTTTTCTTTTCTTTTCTTTTCTTTTCTTTTCTTTTCTTCCCCCCCCCCCCCCTGTTAACTACATATCATAATTTGCATGAGAAGGGATTCAGAATGTGT